TCCAATGCACTTCACTTAACACACTAATAGTAAAATCATGATTATTTTTTTCCCCCAGATACTGAGCAACCTTTGTTGTAACAGACCTTAATGGAAGGTACAGATTGGGGTTTCATTTTTATTAAAATATCGGTAGCTTTTCTCAAGCATATATTCAGCTTTTCCTCCTTACTCTATGCAGCCATCCCCGCTTACTCAAAGGCCCTTCAAGTGCTGTTCCTTTGGTTATATTCAATCCAAAAAGTGCTTTAGCAAGTAGCTCTGGGAGACAAAGGAAAACGTTGAGAGGCACTTCATGTTTAAAGGCAGCTCATTTGCCTCCTGTTACTAATAGCTCCCAAGTAATAAAAATAGATTCCGTACGCCAGAAAATCCTTTTAGCCATTACGTGTTATTTATAGCTCCTGCAAATATTTCCAAAAGCACCTGTTTCCTATTTGAGACCGACTCCCCCCATTTGCATTGGGAGTTAGGAAGTTTGAATTTGTAGGCATTATAGAGAATGTATTCACATGGATCCTTGAGACCCACATACTTTTATGATTTTCCAGTTTATAGAGTCTGCTTGCTGCTTATCTACATTTTTTTTCCTACACAAAGTTATTTTCCTACCCAAGTTTTTCCTTGAGGAATCCCGGCTCTTTCTAATTTCATTCTAAACTCTTTAGCAGGTACTATAACTGATATTTCGTATTTCTGTTCAGATTCATACTGATCTTTTTAAAAAGGCATGCGTTTTCAAGTTAGTTTGTGAGGAGAACAGCTCCCCCAGTTTTGGATGAGCCACGAATCTTCCTTTGGACCATCAGAAAGGCATCAAACATGGACATCTGTTCCTTTGAACGGCCCCCTCGTAAGCTCTTTAGCAGGTACTATAACTGATATTTCCTATTTCTGTTCAGATTCATGCCAATCTTTTTAAAAAGGCATGCGCTTTCAAGTTAGTTTGTGAGGAGAACAGCTCCCCCAGTTTTGGATGAGCCACGAATCTTCCTTTGGACCATCAGAAAGGCATCAAACATGGACATCTGTTCCTTTGAACGGCCCCCTCGCAGCAAAGGTTGACAAGTTTCATGACATCTGTGGCCCATCAGGACTTGGACAAAACCAGGCTGGATGATGGATGGTATCACAGTGTTCCCTCATCGTAGCTGGTACATATCACATAATTAGGAACCGTATGTGGGACGTCTTATCCCGATGAGCGCATAGGAAGGGCAAAGACTATGCTGGTGTTGTGCTATTTCAGGGCAGAACCAGATGCATCCAGGCAAGTTCAGAAGTGACTGGCAGGGCATTACTAGAAATGCAGTACGTGCTTCAGAGAAGGAGATGGGAGCTTCCCATAAAGCCCTGCTTTGAGGAGGAGGTTGGTCTCGATGACCTCCAGAGGTCCCTCACACCGAAATCGTTCGGCGATTGTAATTCAGCTGCAGCCAGCAAGTGCTGCTTCTATATCCCCCCCGTTGCCAGCAAATCCATCAGGATGGCATCCCAGAGCAGGACTTGGTGCTCACAGAGGAGACTCTCTCCCCTTCATCCATCACTGGACAACACGCACAAAAGGGCAGGGGTAGAAATATTTTTGTATGCTCCAAGCCAGGCCTGTGGCGTTCCTTATCTTTGTGTGGATCAATGTCATGTCATTTCAAAAACTCCTGTAGGTCTGAAGCACATCCTAAGCCAAAGGGAAACCGTGTTTTGCCCCACCTGATGAGACCCTCTGCAGTACATCCCTCCAGCCAACCCTGTTGCCTCGTTCTTACCCAAAGAGCTCCATGTTTTCATTGTGGACACAAAATGCATTAGACAAGTGTCCCAAAAGCAAAGGTATTTACAGATTCTGCCCAACCTTCGAGAAGAATGTAAAACCATTTCAGTTAAGAAGGAGCTGATCGTCTCGGTATCCACATGGACCACAGATCCATCTTCTCCCAGCAAAGTCAGAACTAGAATTCAGAGCAGACTAATTGTCTTACAGTCCATCCAGGTACTCCTGGTGCACTAATTATGATTTTCACCTTCTCACTCCAAGTCAGAATGGTGGATCAGAGCATTAGGAGGTGGGGAAACACAATCCAAATAGTGCAAAGGACTGACCCGACGATATCGATCTCTGCGCAGGTTGGGATCGGACCCAAAATGAGCCTCCTGTGAACCACGGGCAACACCAGTTATGAATGCTCCACTGGGAACCAGTCCTGCAGGGCTCCTCGTTGGGCTTCAGTGGCTGCAGGGTTTGACTATTTCACCTGGGATTCGGTCTCATCGTCACCCTGTGGCCAGTTACTGCTCTGCTTGGGAATGAGTCACAACTCTTTCCCAAAATCCACATTTCTTCAGCAGCTGTGGCTCTGACACGAATCACTAAAACCATGTCCTTCTACCTACTCCCATCCGCACAGATTCCTATTTCAACAGTTATCGAGGAGTGGGGGGGAAGAAAAAGAGCAGAAAAAAAAGAAAAAAGAAGGAAGTGAAGCTATTGATTTGAAAAATTTGCATTTCCCAATGAGAAGCCCCGAAGGTGGCTCACCACAGCCAGGCAGCAGAAGAGCGGGCGCGGGGAGGCTTTAAATCAAGGCAAAAAGGCAGAACATAATGCTTCCAATTTACTTTCTTAAAATGAAATGTGCAAGCTAAAAAGCCATGAATAAGCACTACCGAACGCTGCAGCCACCGCAAAGAGATTTTTAAGCCATTGC